CCCGCCGCGCCGAGCTCCCTCGCGTGCATCTGCATCGCGCTCTTGTGCATGAAGATCTGCGAGAAGAACTGCCACAGTTAGTTGGTACGCTGCACTTTTGGTCGAAAGACGGAGGATGGCCAGTCGACGGAAGTTGTGACCGCTGTACTCCCGCCGACCGCCATCGCCTCCTGGACTCTGAGAGGTTCGGCTCACGCGTTTATCCTCCGTTTCATTTTTCTCACGGCTGCCGGAAGGGAACCGATCGTCTCGGTTGTTCGCTTTATGTACGCGAAATCTGTCGATTTAGCGATTCGATTTCTATTCGATGCCTCGTAAATGTTCAAACGCCGATACGCTCCAACAACACGGATATCTAGATTTTGCGCCAATTGTCAGAACGGAGTAGCTACGATCGTCGAGGCATCCAATGAATTCACGCGCGCGGCTGGAAGGTTGCCGTTTTCAACATGGCAAACAGAACGAATGGACGGGAAGGTCCATCATACGTAATAACCGTGTATCATGTTTTTCTCTGTACGAATAGCATTTCGCGTAGAGAAAGGAAGAAAACGCCGGGTAAACGTGTAGCCTCCCCTGTTTCGTTGTACGTAGACGGTTCGAGCGATCCACTTCATGATTTTCTTATGCAATTATAGATGGAAGAGAGGCAGGAACTGCTGCGACCGTGTTATAGATTACGTGTACATATCGCGTTAACGTTTAAATTTTCGATTATTCATGGAGGAACTCGCGGTTGCCTGTTCGCGATTCGACTCGTTGATCGATGCTAATTGTCAGGTCGCTGTTTATTTCCTCGGAGTCCGTGCTTAAAATTTCACGCGATTCGTTGATCGAAAGTGGCTGCGTTTTAGCCGGCGCTGCCGGCAACGTGTTCAATGTCGCCGATAACTATATCGGCATCGCGACGCGTCGTATTACAAAATCGATTCGGTCATCGATATTTTCTCGTTTCAGAACACGCTTTATCAAAATGGTGCACTTAACACGTATTCGATCCTCGACCAATGTTCGTCGAGTATCTACGTTAACGACACACGAACCGGACTTTCGTTGTTCCACTCGAAATGTCGCTGATCGTCCCGTTAATTCACTCGCTTGGCTAACTCGTTAATGGCAAGAGACAAGCTTGATTCTTATATTTCGCGATTCGTTAAAGCCGGGTCACGCTGGAATATCTAACATGGTCTATATATAGACATAGATTGTATAATTTAGTAAATTAATATTAATAATAATATTAGTAAATGTATATATAAATGTGTATATATATATATAATATAAATGTGTGTATATATATATATATATATATATATATATATACACACACATTTATAACGATACAATCATAAAAATATTACCATTATATCTGCTTCTAATTCCGCATTGATTTTATCTAGATCTTCTTGAGATATACTTCTTCCAATTAAAGCTGTGGCATTTGTATGTATTATAAACCCAGCTATACTGCCAAGTAGACCGCCAACTAAAAGAGATCCAATGGCATCAAACATGGGGTTTTCCAAATAGGATGTTAAACCCATACATGTAGCTGCACATACAAGACCAAGCACCTATCATATTCAAAAGAACATCTCATGTTTAATAACTGCGATTGTTCCTATCCTTTTTTTTTTTGTCTAATAAATACTTACAGCTGCACAATCTTCCATAAGTACGACGTTTACAGAAGGATCTTGTCCTCCTAATACATAGTCCTTAAATGTTTGTCGTTTTTCTGCTGCACCTTTTTTTATTGATTGTATTGCTACTAACAAAGTTGCTCCTTCTGATACCATAGAGCCAACCAGGATAAAATATGCCCAATAAAACGATTCTATTGTCGAAGGATTCAGAAGGCCGTGGATTCCGTGATATATAGATAGACCAGTTCCAACACAAAAGATACCAACTCCAGATATTAAAGAAGATACATATCTCATATTTGTATAGCCATATGGATGCTGGCCACAAAAGGGGTCGACGACCGTCACCGTGGTTTTCGAAAGCAACCATCCGATCGATGTTTTTCGATTTCCAGTCGTACACGTATGTGTGTCCGTACGTGGTGTTAGGGCACGGAGCGCACGTTGCGCACGTTGCCCACTCGGCTCACGGCACTTTGCCGTTCTTCGACGCGAAGAGGAGGAACGTAAAACTGCTGGAAGGGCCGAGTACGAGCGGGTGGAACGCTCACGACGAGCAACGCTTGATTTCGGGTTTTCGTTGAGGGAACAGGTGTTGCTCCCGTAGCCGGTGTGGGTGTAGGTGAACGAACGAAAGGGTTAACGTTTAAAACGAGCGTACAGTTCGTGGCAAAAGTCAGGAGATTTCGGATCGCGAGAGCGTCCGCGGAGAAGTTGTCGAAATTGACGAAGGGTGGTTCGACTGCTGTTTCTTTCGCGCGGACGCGACGAAAGCAGGAGAGAAACGAGAGACGAAGGGGCTGAGTGCGAAGGATTTTATTAAAATATGTTAAAACTGTAATTAAAATCGAAAAATCGCGCGAGAAGTTTTAAGAATCTTAGGCGACCCTTCGTGCGAGCACGACAAAGAGAGACAGAGAAGAAGGCGGAGAGAGAATTGAAATCGTCACCACCGGGGGTTCTCAAGTTTCTACGACTTTCAACCCTTTCTTTCCGGGTAGACACGACGTTGGATATTTGACGGGTGACCTTCGACACTGGCCATCCCTGATTCTTAATCCCCGTGAGAGAGCAAGAGACTGCAGCTCCACCTTATTCCTCGTTTTTTCTTCTTCTGCCGGATACTTTCTTTCGCCCGGGGACAAATCAATCCGAGCGGTGTTTCTTGCCGATTTGAATAAAATTGCTCGTGTTTCTCGAACCATCCGTCCCCGGACGTATCCCACTCGTTGATTATTTTTTAATGCCATCCTTTTTTCCACGCACCCTCGCGCGAAGAAACCGAAAGGGCAGAATCTACGACGCGAGGAGACATTTTTCCCGCCGATTAACCGTAGTCAAGGGCTGTGACAAGAGGGCGAGGAACGATTCGACGGTGGCGAAAGTCGAGTTACGAATTTTTAACGACCGTCTCAAGTGGACCGCCGAGATTTTTGAGAAAGCGCCGCTGAATCCGATCGGACGAATATTAATTCCGTCGCAAACGTTAGTCTCTGTTCTCTAGTCTCTGTTTTTTCTTTTTTTTCTTTTTTCAGCAAATGCTAATTAAGCGCGGTGGCGTTTTACGACGGTTGCTTGGTTTTTCTCAAACTCGAAGACCACACGTTCATTAATCACATTTTTATCTGCCGGCGGACGGAAAATTGCGCTCCGCCGACCAGGCCATAGCGACGCTTTGAATCTTTTTTTCTGATTTATCGTTGTCGCCGCCGCCGCGGGGGGAGAGAGAGAGAGAGAGAGAGAGAGAGAGAGAGAAGAAAAAAACAGAAAAGAGAGAGAAGAAGGCGAGAAAGAAACGGCCGGATTTGCTGGTAGAAACGAAAAGAGGAGGAAGAAAACGGAAAGAGTTGGTTGGCTGCGGTTCGCCGGCTTAATGTCCTTAATAATGGAAAAATATATCAAGCGACACCCACTGTATTTCCTAAAAGGCATTCCTCATCTCGATTTTACCCTCTGCTTTCGTTCTTCGTCTTTGTATCGGAGGCCGTGGTTACACGCGGATGGCATGTTCTGGCAAACGGACACGATGTTCCGACCGATGAAACGTGTGACGTCGAAAATGCACTCGTAAGAATCTAGCATCGTTACGCTCGTATAATATCGAGGTCTCGGACGATAAAGACACGATAAGAGTCACGTTTCCCGTCCCTCGCGTAGAAGAGCAATTAGAAAATTGGGTATATCGTTCGACGATTACACGCTGCGAATACTATGAAATGAAACTGAAATGCGTTAGTAACGTAGTAATAACGATGTAGTTTAGCCGCGTTATCGCATAATTTCAACGAAACGACCAACAACCAACCTTACATCTTCGAATCTATCGAGCTGTATCGAGTTCTTTCGAGCTCTTTCGAGAATACTTTGTACGAAAGCAAGATGACGTTTCAATGTAATAAACAGCCAGCAAGCGAGGCACGAAAGTCGGCGAAATCGACGGAGATGGATTCGTCAGATTTTTCGCCGAACGGTATATTTGTACGATCGTTACGGCATACTCGATACGCTCGGAATGACAGTTTGTCGGCACACGCATCTTCCACAACCATATACGGTCTGACGTTGCAACGAATAACCAACAACATTGACGGATACTTTTGTCGCCTGAATCTAGAAACGTACAGGGTTAGTCTCTGTCTGAGAAAGCGAATCGTTGGGAATCGGACGTTGCCTGTGGATTTGGCAAGGCGTGGGAGAAGTTGGCCCGTTTTTCGGAAGGGATCCGGAGGATCTGGGCGACGTAACCCTTTGTCTCTCCCTTGGCGCAGTAAATTACGACGGAATAACATTGGTCACTGGAAGTAGGCTACTTTATACACTTGGAACACAAAGCAAAGGTCTCACCTGCTGACCATATGCCTTTTCTCCATGGCACACATACGAACGTAACGTGTTCCGTCCACCCACGCACGCCGGCCATCTAGCACTTCGCATGTGCTATTAACTCGAAGGTATGTGTGCCTGCGTGTACGTGTGGCATACGCGTTCGCGCGCACCTTTCCGCCTCTCCGTGTGCGCACCGTGCACCGTGCACTGTGCACTGTGCATACGATCACACGCCTATACGTACATACGCGTGTGTCTACGCGGAGACAACGTCCAATCTAACCTACCTAGCGTTGCCTGACTCATTCTCCTACCGACCCACCTATCTGTCTAAACTGCGGCCGCGAACAGCGCCGTAATATAAAGGAAAAGGTGGACCTTCTCTCCGCCTCTTTCTCTCCTTCTCTCCTTCTCTCTCTCTCTCTCTCTCTCTCTCTCTCTCTTCCTTCCTCACACCGTAATCATCGAATTTAATCTGTCTGAATCGCGGCACCGTGATCCGCTACCTCGTGTACCCTGCGCTTCCGGTTACGGGCTAACCTGCCGATCACAGATCCTCGTTCTCCTCCCCCCTCTCCCGCTCGGATCCCTGGATTTCGAATATCTTTAAGGATCTGTGATTAGGGGATTGGCGAGAAGCAAGCCTCTTGCGTCCACGCTGCCTGCTGTAGTAGAGACGCATATGGGTTTTCGGAAGGCCCGATGAAAGAAAGAAGGTGGCTCGTGTGGGATTCGTAACAGTCAGGAATCTGAACGTAGACGAATGTTATCGTCGGTTCGGTCGACGCTTTTCTGTGTTCCGAGGGATTTTTTTTGCGACAAAGTGATTGTGAGAGGCGTGCGGAAGGCCTTGGGGAAATTGTACGTTTGCCTTGGATACGCGTAGCCTTTGTGGTTAGTGAGAAAAGGGAATTCGTTTGGCGCCGAATACGTGGAACCGCGTTGGAAAGATTTCGCAAGAATCATCGTGAGACGGACGAAAAGACGAGACAAGGCGCGACGAAGAGGTGGCGGTAAATTGTTTTCTCGATAATCTCGCGGAAAGAGAGAGCACGGGAAAGTAGCTCGTCACCGACGAGTACGCTTCGTCATGGGCGATGTCGCGTCGCAATAATCGAGAAACTAATCGGCGATGTGTTGATCGGGATAGGCACGCGAACCACCGGTGACCAATTAAATTTCCTGGTGAAAATAAAGCGACGAAGTAGCCAGCGCTAGTCGAAGGGAAACCCGTTTAGGCGCGTTACCAGACGGTTAACCCGAGTTGGTGTCAAAATAGCACGTAGGTAACTTACACCGACAACGTTATAATAATCGTCGTGCATACTTGTCTCGGTGGAAACGAGGCAGGCACACTCTATACCCGTGATTGTACACCGAGGCTTGTGGTGGGAAACGAACTTGTGCCATAGGCAGTTAAAGTCATCGTTGTAGGTTTCCCTTACGATATTAATCACGCGTACGCCTTGCCGTGTAGCCAGAGAGTAACAATCTCTAATCCTCGATCAAACGGTGCTCGATTAGCCCAATAAGAGGGCAACGACAGACGGCTTTACATACTTCACCTCGGTCACTTTCTACTCTACTACGGTCTGTATCCTTAAACGGTTCAACAACTGAGTTTACCATCGGGAAAAAGCAGCTTCTAAATCCCGCGGTCTAGATAGATGCCGCGGAAGAGACGGACGGCTATCGATTGACCAGGCAGGCCATTTTAACCAAAATGTATTGGTTGGTTTAAATGCGATCGGCAGAACGACAGAACGACAGAACGACAGAACGACAGAACGACGGAACGACAGAACGACGGAACGATGGAGCGACAGAACGGCGGAAGAAGAAGAAGAAGGAGAAGAAGAAGGAGAAGAAGAAGGGGAAGAAGAAGCTTCTGGGAAACGAGAAGAGTATCGTTTCGAGCGATGGAATTTCATCGCATAGCCGGAATCGTTGGTCGTTGGGATACGCGACGTGCCAACAACTTGTAACGGCGGAATACGTAAACGAGTATAACATGGGCGAACGAGTAAACACGGTTGAACGCATCTAGGGGGACGAATAGTCGGCGCCTACCGAGTTACGAAAGATTGTTGGAGTTGCAGGGAAGATAGCCGGTCGAAGCAGCCCGGAATATCGTCAATAATTACCTCGTGCGGCAAGTGGTGATGAGGATGCTGATACGGCGGCGGTACGTACGGCGGGTGGCTCGGATGATTGTGGGGGTGAGGTCGGGGATGGTTTTGATGCTGGGCTTGCGGCGGGAGCGGTTGGGGCGCAGGAGGCGGTGTCCAAGGCCCGTGGTTCGGCCCGTGGCTTTCATTGGTGCCATACATCTTCAGGGAAGAATCTCGAGCACGCGACCTGAAGAGTCCCTCCCGCCCTCCACGCACGGTGATACGAAAGACTCTGACATCGACATGATGGCTATCCTCGTTGCAGGTCGCATCGGCGACACGCTTGATTTCCACACGTGCCTCTATCTACATAGT